TTCTTCTTCATCCTCTTCCTCTTCTTCCTCTTCCTCCTCCTTCTTCCTCTCTCTCTCTCTCTCTCTCTCTCTCTCTCTCTCTCTCTCTCTAACTAAAGGCAAGTATCTCCAATACAGCTGTGCTAAATAATAGAGATGTCTGGAATTCTACACACCCACTTGGAAAGAAGCTATCTACAGCAGCCTTCTAACCCACATCTAACTATGACAAGATGAAGCAATAAACTTTCATTGTATTAAGTCATTGATATTTGAGGGTTGTATGTGTAAAAAAAAAAAAAGGCTAACATACTGTGCTTCCCTAACATACTACCTTTTTCTGAGACCAATTCTCCAGTCTTTTTTCAGTTTTGATAGCCTCCCAATGAATTCCTTTCCTGTTTAAATAATAACTGGAACTTATTTCTGTTGCTTTCCACCATTACCTATGGTAGATCTATCACTAGTGATAATTTAAATAGCCAGATAATTATTAATAATGAGATTAAACTATGATCTACTGCTCAAGAATGTAGATGTTTTATTGTGTTGACCATTTATAGTCAACAAACTCGAACCAAACACTGTCTACATTTCTAAGGTATGAAGTATGCATTAGCTATAGATTCTGCCCATTTGTCATTTAAAAAGCATTCCCTGAATTGTCTTTATTCTAGACACCTTGCTAGGCATTGCAGATAGAAAGATGTACAGGGACTGGTTCTTGACTTGGAATCATCATAACAGGCTCCCATTCTGTGGAGGAAACCAAGAGAAGTTCACACGCAGTAACAACGTTACCACTCAAAAAAGGGGAAATTGGAATGAGACCAATCGCTTCTGTCCTTGGTCTTGTTCACTTTGTATTTTGTTTTTGGGTGACGCACGCATTCTTTCACAGCCCTGCCTATCTGTTCCTCATGATTCTCAACCCATTATCTCTGCTCTTCACTTTCCACTAAGTCCCAGACCTACATTTCCAACTGCTAGCAACTCTGCTTCACCTTGGTGTCCCAGACATCTTATAGTCAACAAAACCAAATTCCTTCTCATGCCCCTGACTTACTTTTCCACCCCTATCATAGTTGATGAAGTGTCTGGCTACACAACTATTTAGAAATCACGGTGCCCTGATTGATTCATCCTTCCCTCATTTTCCTCTTATACGTGTGTCACCAACATGCATTGCTTCAACCTCAGAAACCTTCCGTTGTTTGCTTTCAGTTGCCCACCCTGGTTCAGAATCTCGTACTTTCCACTGGTACTCTGGCAGCATCCCGTTGCTCTGGCTCTCCTCCCCATGTTGGCCTGTCCTACCACTAAGCAGCACTCTAACTTGAGATCTACTCTTCCTCTGTTAAGGTGTCTTCACCGGCTCTGCCAGAGTTTTCAGGAAGAAGTGCAAACTTCTTAGTCTTACATATACAACACTTCATAATCTTGCCCTGTTAACTGTTCCATCCTCATCTTTGTAAGTAAAATGAGGAAACTAAATTCTTCCTATAATTGCTTCTAATTTATCTCTTTAACTCATCTTTCCTTATATTTCATCATCTGAAATGCAAACCAGTTTTCTGTTCCCCATTTTGTGATCATCTCCAAGATGAGCTAGAGTGGCTGACTCACTCAGGCTATAATCAAGATTTCTTTTTTCTTTTTTTTTTCTCTTTCTTCCCTGTGAGATTAGTCCCATTAGCTCTGACTACTGCACCAGCCCACGGCTTACTCTTTCTGGATTCCTGAGGTCTTTTAACCACCTGTAGCCCTCTTTGCCTCTATGACAAAGACTGGAACCTTGGAGGTCACTTTTTTAATTCATCATTACTCCTGTTTATCTAGTTTTAATCCAAGAATTTTAGAATTGAAATAAAGCTCAAAGGTAACCTAGTTCAGTAGCTTTTCCTATGCATAACTTCCTTAGATAATAACTCTGATTAAAAATGTTCCACCCTCTTGAATACCTGAAGGGACACAGGACTCATTATTCCTAAGAAGACTTATTCTGTCTCCAGGTGTCTCCAGTTGTTAACAGTTCTTCCTGTACACGGAGACAAACTTCCCTCCACCTGTATCTCCCACTCCTGATTCAGTTGTCCCTAAACAGACAGAGTGGGTTTCCAATCCCTCTGGGAAGCAATTTCATTTCAGGTACTTGGAGACACTTTTCATGGCTCCCATCCTAAGCTCTCTTTCACTAGAACAAAACCGCCAACCATTCCTTGTGTAAAAATCAGTGATGGAGTCAGAGGTCCACCGAAGTTGCAATCAGCATTCTGTGGACTCCCATCATCTTCCCACTCATGTCTCCATTGCCTTGAGGATTGACCTTGGAAATCAGACTGCTCTGGTTTCACATAAAAAGGAATACCTAACAGGATATATATCCTTGGGCAATGGGATACATATCCTTGGGCTGCAGGATATAACAACCAAACAGTTTGAATTTTTAAAACTGTGACAGTATTTTGAAATATTTTATAAAGGGATGTCAAGAAAAGCAAGACTCAGAATTTTGTATTTATACTTCTTACACTCAGAAATTTTTCATAGATTTCAAACTAAGCCCTTTAAATAACACAAGTCTGCCCTAAAATGTTTCTATGACAAATTTATAGGGTTTGAACATCTCTAATTAATGTGGAACACAGCAGTCATGTGTTTTTTTCTTCCCCAAGAACCTACCATGTATCTAGTTAGATACAATGCTTTTGCTGGGATGGGTTTCGATTCACAGTTCTCCTGCACAGTTCTCCTCAGAGCAACACTGACTTCTGTCTGAGCCTTACCTCCCATCACAGGGACGGCTGTCACCTGAACCCTCCCCCTTGCCCCAGCTGACCCTCTTGGCCTCCAAAGCAGTGTCCTCAACCCACACTGCATTGAATTTTCTGGCCCAGAGGATCAGCTACCACACACTGCAGCACTGTCATCTGGCAAAGCTTCGTTCTTTTCACTTCCCTCCATTTGCAAAACAACTGGGACGAAATTACAATGTGTTTTTTACCTGGCTTTCTTTTCCTGCACAGACAATGACTTCTCCACAAATGGCTGCCCTGGCCAAATAACTGTGTTCACAATTAGCTAATTGCAGGCTCAATGAGCCACTTGTTCCTGCAGACTCGGCTATTAGAGTTGTGTGATTAAGCAGAAATTTATCTTTTTTATTCCCTTCTGATTTACAAAGCCACAGCAGAACTCAGCTCTGATCTCCCTGTGTTCTTTTACATCAATATAAACCTTCTATGTTATTTCCTTTTGAACATCATATTTCAATTCTTCTACAAATCACAGCAGCTATACTTTGTATATTGGAACCAAACTCTATGTTTGATTGAAATCAACCTTCCAGTAAGGTAGCCCAGTATACCTCAGTCCAACTTGTAAAGTATAATGCTAAAGCATCGGAACAGTTGTTTTGCCAAAGTCATGCAATCACGATAAAGATCAGAACTAAAATTTCTCAGTAGAAAATGCCGTTTTTCCCCCTGGAGATTGAGTTTCACACAAAGGACAAAGACCAACCTTCAAACTCATTTGCCTTCAAAACAGGGCAACTTTACACATCTCCCAAATTGCTGCCAGTTGATTTTTTGGAAGTGTCAAAAATATAACTTATTTTGAAGAATGACTTCAAATATGTATCTTCATCTACTTTTTCTCCTATAATTGATGCCGTTTCTTTTCTTGATTTCTGTACATTTTATTTTAATTTCCTTTTTTAAAAAATGTTTTTAAAATGTATTTTGTTGTTATAGGGCTTCACTACACAGCTCAGACTTGTGGTGATCCTCCTGCTTTCAACCCCCCCAGCACTGGGATTACAGGTGTGCACTACTATGCCTGGGGGTGAGGCTGGCACAGCATGTGGTGCAGGGGATCAAACCACTGTCCCTGTGCTTGCCTAAGCTTGCCTAAGCAGGCATTGTAGCCTACTGAGTTATCTTGCCAGCCCTTAAAAGATTTTTATGACAAGGTATGTATTCCAGGTTTGCCTTGAATTCTATACAGCCCAGGCTGGCCTCAAACTCATGATCCACCTACCTCTACCCCAGTGCTAACATTAAAAGCATGTGCTCCCAAACCTGATTGTATTATTATCTGCCTATTCACAAAATATGTTACACTTTCAGTTTTGGTACAAGGAGGTCATTTCCCACTAATATCCCTCCAATCTGATTATATTATATAATTTTCCCAGTCACAAAATATGTGTTACATTTTTAATTTGGGTATAAGGTAGTCATTTCATACTAATCTTCCTCCAATCTGTGAAAGATGAAAAATAGCCAGAAGTAAGGAGCTTTCAGCTATAAAGAAATTAATTAATAAATAACATTAATAAGAAATAGATGTATTTGCTTTGAGAATAACTCACTTTTGGATTTCAAGAGATTTGCCTTCTAGTTAAACAGGAGTACGTCTCCCAAACAACTCTTTCAGCAAGGCAGGTTTTTTATTACTAACTCTCCAGTTCACAGCCTTCTTGCCTTATGACTGTCTTACTTAAGTGGGGCGGGAACAGACACCTGAAGTCTCTAGTGTTGCTTACACATGAAAAAATTATTCTCTTAGTCTCTGTCCTATTTCAAAGGCTTCTGGCTGAGGATGTAGCTCAGTGGTACAGTGCCTGCCTGGCAAGAGTGAGGTCCTGAGCTCCAGTCCCAGTACCAAATAAATTAATAAACTATTTCAAAGGCTTCAGGCATTAACATTTAGCATGTAAAAAGACTAGTGAAGATGAAGGAATCACGGTTACAGGTTAAAGTGGAATGGAGGAGAAAACAATGAAGGAAACAGAAGAAACTGGGGCAATGCTTCAATGGCAGGGACATTATCTTCAAGAACAAGACATTGTAAATACAGCTACTGCTCAGAAAAAGCATATCTAAAACAGTTTATCAGTACAGAGAAGGTAACAGCTCTGTACGCGGTCAGCCAATGCACACAGCAAGGGGGTGTGAGAAAGACATGGTCAGCGCAAGCCATCTACAATGGAAGTGCTGCCTGTGCTGTTCACTTACCCAACACCAGCAGCTCCACCGAGTCCTCGTTTTTGCCTTCCAGGTCATCAGGAGTGGTGATGATGCAGAAATAGAGTCCGCTGTCTCCCCACATGAGTTTTCCAATTTGAAGATCTGCATCTGTTATCACACATGGACACAAACACACGCACACACGCATGCACACACACACACACACACAGACACGCACGCACGCACCACATGTACAAAAGAACTCAGTTCTAAAACTCTGTCCTGAGAAAGAAAAGCATTGAGTGATATGGGGGCTAGAAGGGAGAGTCCTAGAAGGGTCTGCTGTGTTCTATTTCTTCACCTGGATGGTGGCTGAAAGACGTTTGTCTTTCCAATAAAAGCAAACCAACAAAATAATAACAAAAAGCATCCATGAAGTGACAGAATGGGAACGCAGCCAGCAACTGATCTAGCCCAGTTTCAGGGATAGCTGGTAGCTTTCAACGAGGCCTGCAGAAACCCCCAGAACCAGATAAATTGCACAGTCATTCTGGACTCCCAGAAATAAACTGACTTTACAGGAATTCTTCAAAATTGGAATAATCAAACAGGTCCTATCAGACTCATGGAGTCTTTCCTTATCCAAAATTAAGAATGAGGGGCTGGGGAGATAGCTCAGCAGTATAAACACCTGCCTGGTAAGCACAAGGACCCAGGTTTGATTCCTGGCACTGCATGCTATGCTACCATGCCAACCACCAAAACCAGGCATGATAGTACATGCCTGTAATCCCAGCCCTGGAGAGGCTGAGACAGGAGGATCACTACAAGTCCGAGCTGTGTAGCAAGACCCTATGCCAAATAAATAAATAAGAGATTTTTTTTAATTTAGAGAAAAAAAAGAAAGTGTGAAGTTGATACAAAGGCTTGAGGGCTCAGGGGAGGAAATTCTGACTTTTTCAGGCTTGCGAAAGGACTATAAAGTGACATCAAGATGTAGGATATTTAGCTGGACTTTACTCACAAGAACCCACTTCAATTTGATTCTGAAAATAAGCTTCCAGATTTCAGGCCAGGCTCTGGGAAGACTATTCCAAGGCTGGTCTCCGTCTTCTCCACATACTACACTGTCCACTCTTCTTGCCCACCACACCATTAAAGCAACTTGCTAGGGCTCTTACAGCTCCCATCCCCAATAAAATTGGATTGCTGGAGGGCTGAAAGACACATCCCCCTGTGTCTCCAAAGAATGGAACTAACCTCCCTCCCACTCCCTAGATTCAAAGCAAGGCCACTAGTACCGTGAACAATTGTGATCTCTCTGCCCCTGTAGAAATCTCCTAGCGTAACAGTGGAGCCCTGTTTTGAAGCCACAACCCGAACAGTCCTCCTGCTGTCTAAACAGTCCAAGTACGGGTCCCACTCCAGGTTTCTCTTGCTGAGAGACTGGATTCGGGTAGAGGACATGCCCAGGGACTCCCCCATGCGATCCTGGCAGTAGGACTTGAACTTCCATTGAACGACTGCAGGCTGATGCGAGGATGTGGAGAAGTGGCAGCGAAGTACAGTGGGCTGGAAGAGCATAGCCACCTTCTTCTTGTCAGGCACTGTGACCTGAAGACCTTCAACCATGGCTGCAAAACAAAAGGAACATGTCCAAGCAGTTCCTGTATTCTGAGACACATCTCCCACCACAGTCACACCTTTTCTTCTCACTCCCTTAACCTGCTCTGCCCCATCATAGTTAATGGCGTCAGGGTCCACTCAGCTGCCAAGTCTAGAAACCTAGGCCCATTCCCTGTATTTCACCAACCATTAAGTAAGGTCAAGTTGACCTCTTCAATATTTTTTCTCCCCTCCTTTACTACACTACTATGGCTTTTGTTTAGATTCTGTCTGTTTCTTACCTATAACATTACTACACTTCTAATATAACTGATCTCCCCACACTCAGCCCACCAACATCCATTACATTCTCCTTATGATAGTTCAGCTCTGACTGCTATGGCTGTCTTTCTTAAAACCCTTCACTCACCCTGCATGCCTTTCAGGATAAAACTCAGATCCTTGGCAAGGCATCCAAAGGGCTCCATCATCTAGTTCCTCTTATACCTTCAGCCCACCTCTTTGAAACACTTCTATCTGAGCTGAAGCTGCAAGAATATTAAATAGCATCAAATAACATCAGATCCCCCGAGTGGGACATGCTACTGTGCACTCCTGGATTTGCACGTGTTGGTCCCCTTTTCCCTTGGGAAACTCTTCTACCTTTCAAGAGCCAGTTGAAAGGCTTCTTACAACACCTCTTGTGACAAATCAGTACATCATTTCCTCCTCTGCACCATCACTCTACACAGCATTTTCTTGTAGGCATTTACTATGATGAGTCTGCATGTGTTTATTTGCATGCCTTTTAACATTATGAGTGTTTTATCATGTTTCTCTAGCTTATAAAGCCCACAGGCACACACCAAATATTTGATAAATCATGACAATGAAACCAAAAAGTACGACTTCAAGAAGTGACTTCACTTCCCTTCCAGCAGGTGACCAAGTAAAGGGGACAGAGATAAAGGAGAAATGAAGTCTGGGAGAAATCTGGGATTGTAGATCAAAAGCAAAAGACTGAGCTCAAAAGCTTTGAAGGGTAATCGAAAGGAAAAAAATAATAATTTAAAAAGTAGGTGAGAAGTTTAAGTGGTGAAAAGATCCAACCTGCAGCTTGCTGACCAAAAGAAGAGAGGAGCATTTTCAGTGAATGAAAGATCAGGGGTGTGTTTGAGAAACAAAAGGTCTATATGAACTCAATAGTTAGATCTAGAAATTCCAAGCTATGAAAACATAACTTCCTCTGTTTAACAGAAGAGTTAAGAGTTTCTACTTTAGAACCTTCTATTAGAAGCAGAAGTAGAGTTATGATGAGAGGCAGGTGGAAAAAAGCTATGAAGATATAAAAAAGGTCATGAATTTAATGCAAGAAGCCACCAAGCCAGCTTCAGGTAGGACAGGGTAACAGGGTCACCCCAGAACTTGAAACATGCAAAAAAGAGACTCTTCCCTAGGTGCCTGTCTTAGTTACTTTCCTTTCATTGCTGAAATAAAATATCCCACACCCAAAGTTAAAGGAGGAAAGGTTTATTTAGTTTACAGTTAGTGGAGGTTTCAGTCCATAATAAACTGGCTCCAAGACAAAGCGGCACATGGCAAGGAGGCAACAGTTCAGGGTGGTGGAAGACAGCAAAAGCAACAAGGGAGAAGAGGCAAGGCTCTTTCTGTCCCTATATTATATCCAGTCTATCAGAATTAGGGTGATGCCAATCCAATCAGTGGACTAATCCAGCAATCACCCACCCTTAATCCCAGCACCCTTAATCCTAGCATTAAACCATGAATTAATCACACATTCCAGATTCAGCTACTTCTGAAAAAGCCCCATCTAAACCCACATGAGGCTTTGGCAGGGGGACATCTAGACACAAACCGTAACAGCATTCCCTGTTCTATGTTCACAATGGCATCCTGCAAAGCAAACTTACTCTTGCAGCTCAATCACACTGATTTAGGAATGTGCCTCTTCACTCAAACTCCCCTGACACGGGCAAGTCACCATACTTCTATTCTTGTCTTCTGATTTTCTAGTCAGTGTCTCTTCAATGAAAAGCACAATGAAAACCTAACTTCTAATTTCTATTAGGAAAAAAAGCTTTCTGAGTTCTGTGGAATTTGGAAGCGAACACATTAGAGTATTTGAGACGTATCAGATCTCAAAATGTTTCAGACCTTCCATGTTCTCAGTAGCTACCTATGCATAAATAAAGGAATGAATGAGCAAGTGGATTACTATTAATATGAGAATTTCTAGTACTCTGCAGAGGAAACTGGTTAAATGAGTCATAGATAGCACAGTATAGTAAAATAGCATTGGCACCAAATAGTCAAGGCTTTGAATATCATCTGGCAATATACTAGTGGTGGAGTCTTAATGAAGTCTATGAAGCAGTCTGAGACTCACCTATAAAAGGAGCAACATACTAGTATTCTAAGGGTCAATAACAAGTAGTGTCTCATTGGTGATTGTCAGAGTAGACTTAACAGACAAGCCCTGAGACAGGTAAAGAGAAAATTCTCAACTATGTACTGGTTCTTGCCTTTCCTGCCTTCCCCTCACTTCCTACCCAGAAGTTCCTGACCCAGTGACCCTCCACCACCACCAGGTTTTAACTGTAGTTACATTATGCTGATCAACTTCATGGTGAGGCTCTGGTAACTTCACCTGGAGGCTCTGTCCCTACACTTGCCTTCACCACTCCAAATGTTGACGTGGGTAATTTCGTGCTCCCTGACTCACATAGTTGGATTAGGAAACAAATTTCTTTATAGTTTCACCTTAAGTTTGATGGAATTCATTCATTTACACTCATTTCTAACTTTGGAATTCTTCAAATCCTTATTCACACCTAAATTTTTCCACTGATAAAAAAAAAATGGAGCACAGAGGTGAGATGACTTCAATTAGCAGGTTGAGGTTAGAGAGCCAATCACAGGCTCTGTAACCAGGAGACACTGTGTACCAGGCCACACCTCCTTTTGCTCTACTGCCAACAGAAGCTCTCCTGGGGAAACCACAGTTCCTAGACCTCCTAGGATAAATAAAATGATCAAAGGATAGAGGTGCTACACAGATGTGTTGTATGGTTTTTAATCTTATTTATTTATTATTTTTTGGAGAAAGAGTCAAGATTTAGGTTTTATTAGATGATTGTTAGTATTAACCTCCTCCCCAGACAGATTCTCTGTTGAGATTAGCAAATTGAGCAGCAAACTATTGGACTCTCTTCATAAATTATTAATAGAGGTTAGTCAAGTCTCAGCATCTTCCATGACATAAATAAGCTCATGCTCTGAAGGACAAGGAATATATTCTCAGAAAAGTTCACTTTTTTGCAGCATGATAGCTAAAGACCTGGATTTCGGAGTCAGTCTTAAATTAGAATTTACTACCACTTCTTCGCTACATGACCTTAGGCAAGTTACTCAACTCATAAATTTCAGTTTCCTCATGAGCAAAACCAGAATAACTGTGTTATGGAATTGGAGTTATTGAGGATTCATTGACATTTTATGCTAAATACTTAGGACAATACTTGGCATATACTAAGGGCTCAATAAATGTAATTGCTACTACTGTTGCTACAGCTATACAGAATAGGCTGTCAACTTTGGTGAAGCTACAAACCCAGGACAAGGCAAGCACAGAGATCCAGCTGTGAGATGCTGAATTTGAACAGGCAAAATGGGCAGAAACTGCAAGGATGCCAGAATTTACCTTGGGGGCTCAACAGTGGTGTTTTCTGGGTGTGCTCACCAGGCACACTAAGACTAAGATGGAGAGAGAGAGAGTGTGTGTGTGTGTGTGTGTGTGTGTATGTGTTTGAGTGAGTGACGTGCATAGGGAGAAATACACATGCAGGTGCAACAGGACTCTACACAAAGGAGAGACCAGGAACACTAGAGAGGGTAGGAGGAGGAACTCCAAATAAACGTAAGAACACAGAGTGAAGATTTAAAACCTAAACTGTGGATCCCCGTCTCAGCTCTACAGGCTTCAAAATGTAAGATGAATACCACCTACTTCCCAAACCCACCCTGACCAAGCTTAACAGAAGCTCCGTTCCCACAGGAGGATGGGATTTAGCACTGCTCTTCTGACCCTAACCCTGAATTCCAGGTGAGTGACTGGGTTCCCTGTACCCACTGAGCAGCATCTTTTGCCCTCAACATTACTGACCTTCTATAAGACTGTGCTTCTACTGTGGTGTTCTGATTGCAACCCAGTTGCTCCAGTGGGATCAAAGCCTAACCTTGAACTCCAGCCTCTGTCTAAGGCACTGATACCAGCCCCTTCTCCTGAAGGGTGGGCATTGTTTACCATACTTTTCACACATGGCTGATCCAAACTCTGAACCTTCAGAAACAGTTCTCATGAGACCTCCACTCCTACCTACACATCAGACTCTTCAGAGACAAGTGCTAACTAGGGTAAGAAAAAAGATGACCAGTCCTCCACAGACACTAAGATTTAATTGGGGGACACCCTCTCTCTGGCTCACATTCTTAAGATATCTGTCCTGGCACCAAGTGTCCTGAGCTATGATCCTACTTCTTAGATTTTCTTTTCTTTTCTAATTATCCTTGTTTTCTATTTTACTACTTATTCTATGCCAAAAACCTAGCACTTCTTAAGCCAGAATCTACACAGACTACTAAGAATATATAACTATAACTCTGAATGCCAGATAAATTTAAAATTTCCAACCTCTTTGTTGTGAATTGTGTATTTAATGTAAGAAATACTACTCAATCCCATGATTCTAACTCCCAATTTTATCTTAGATCCTCTACCCTCTTAGGCCTTACCTGTATATTTAACAACTACTTCAGATTGAATCTATAAACCTCATTCATAGCTCTTATTTTCTTGCCTCACCTTTTTTCTTTTTTTATTTTTTATTTTTATTTATTTATTTATTTATTTATTTATTTATTTTCAGAACCGAGAATTGAACTCAGGCCCTTGCACTTGCCAGATAAGCATTTATTCTAGTGAGCCATCTCCCTGGCCCACCTTGCCTCA